AGTAAATAATATATGCAAAGCACCCAGTGCATACAGGGTTTGGAGACGCAGGGGAGGTTCAGGAAATGTTGACCTTCTCCCCGTTCTCTCCCAGCTCTTCCTAGAGCAGCACAAGCAGCTCTTCTTAGAGCTACTCAATTAATTTGCCTCCAACACGTTTCCAACCCTTACCCCCTCACCTACGCTCCCCATTACCTCTCACATCTTTGGTGACTGGCCATCATTTCCCACCTTAGGGCATAAGGTGCCCACAACTTGGTTGCAAGATACTCCACTGTTAACGTTTGGAGGACAGAGATCATGTCAGATCCACTTTGAGATCCTTGGAACTCAGCAGGCTCAACTGCACTTGCACAGATGCAGGGCATGAATGAATGACTGCTCAGGAACGAATGACTGCTCCTCCTCTACAGCTGCTTCTCTCCAGGGATTCTAGAAGGTTGTTTCTGTTCCTCACCTTCTCCCAGACTTCTCTCTATCCTGGGAACACTTTTGGAGCTCCCGGAAAGCCTACACCCCCACCATCCCCCTCATCCCCAAGGCCAGTGAATCTGTGACTTCTCCACTCACAATGGGCAAAATCCTCCTGCTGGCCTAACTAATCCATGCTGAGGTTTGCTCATTCTGTCTCTAGGCAGGAACAGACTGGCTGTGCGAGTGTGCAGGGCGGGCCGGGCCCTTCCTGGGGGCAGGAGGAAGGAGGCTGAGCAGCGACTGGGGTAACCTGAGGCCACACATGTGGTTTGTTTAATCCAGACCCTTTCCTGGGGTTCCTCTCCCCATCTCTGGCTGCTCCCTTCCCGCCTTTCTCAATGTTCCCTCGACCTGGAGCTTTCCATGGCTCACATAACTTATCTAGATCCTCAGGTGTGACTCACAGCTCCTTTGCACTGAGATTGGGGGCTCCTTCTGGATGATTCATTCATGCTCTCACAGGACCTAGCAGGGTGCATACAGTAAGTGCCCCCCCAGTGCTTGGTGACTGAGAACCGTGGCTCAGCCCAATGTGCCCCGCGATGGGGCCCTGGCTTAGATCCCCATAGAGAAAGAGGGATGAGTTTCAAGTCAAATTAATACTTGAGTGAGGCGGGAGTTAGGTTTTGTCCAGTGGGATGGTTTAGTTTACAACCTCTAGGAAAAGACAGGAGAAGCTCGAGTGCGAGTCTGAGATGAGCCTCCTTCCTAGGGAGGCTGCCCCTGCAAGAAGCCTGGGCTGGGAGGCGTGAGGGAGCTTTGATGTCATCAGGTGCAGGCAGTACAGGTTGGCTTCCTAGGGACGTGGACAAAACTGTGGTCCAATTCTTTGGGAGACTCCGTGTCAGCTCTCCTGCTTGGTGGAAGCCGGCTCCCCCACTCCCTACCCTCATCCCACCCCCAAGAGAAAGCTCACATTCAGAAACAGGAAGGCCAAGCGGGGGAATGTGCCCAGCTGCCACAGAGCTGAATGGGAACACGGTGTGGCATCTGAGTTGGGGGGGGAGACCAATTTGAATTAAAAAAATGTCTCCCACTTTGCAACACAAGGCCGAATGATTAGCACACAGGGAAAATCATGAGCCAGCAGTTTGCAACAAAGCTGGCAGACGGCTGGAATGTTGATCCTGAGGATCATGTTCCAGAGGGGAGACACCCCTCCCCGGGCCAGGCTGGCGCTCAGTGGGGCTATTTCAGGCTGGGGGGATTAAGGTCGAACCATGACGAATGTGAACCATCGTCTGCGAACCATCATCTGCATGCGTGTGTGTGTGTGTGTGCGCGCGCGTGTGTGTGCACACCCACCCACCCACACACACACACACACACACACACACACACTCCAGACACTCCTTTTCTCTCGTCTCTCCCATCCCGGCCCCCATGCCCTGATCTCCAGGCCTGCCTCCCGCACGGAAAGTCTCTTGGAGGCCAGGACCTCTCCCTCCCCGGCAGGCCCAGCCAGGCCCGCAGCCCCAGCTCAGGGAGGCACGGGAGCCGGGCCTGGGAATGTGGACAGCACACACCTGGCTTTGCACTGTCCCCTCACCTGCCCAGCCTGTCCCTTCATCCCCTGTCTCTGCCGATGCCATTCTTTCTTCTCTCTCTTCCGCCCTGGCTTTCTCAGCCTCACTTCCCTTCTCTCTGCTACCCTTCCCTCTGGGCCGCATCCTTCCTAAGCCTCCCTCCTGACGGTGACTCTCCAGGGTTGTCTCTCTTTCCCTTTTTCTTGCTTCTGATTTCTCCCTCCTAAGCCTCCCTCCTGACGGTGACTCTCCAGGGTTGTCTCTCTTTCCCTTTTTCTTGCTTCTGATTTCTCCCTCCCTCCTTCCTCTGGTCTTGCCTGATCTCCGTCTTTCTCCTTGTGTTACTTCTTCTTTTTTTTTTCCTTGTCTTACTTCTTTCAACAGTTCTTTGCTGGCCATCCATGCATGAGACCTTGGGTTAGCCGCCACCAGGCGTGGGTTATAATTGTATATAAAATACTCTCTGTTAGCTAGGAGACGAGAATAACAATACACCAGCGACTCTGAGTTGAAGCCACATGTGGTGTTTACAATTAAGTGGCCCCCAGTGCTCCCAGCACTTAGTTGGGAGAAAGAAAAGGCCTTTCTGGATGGGGTGTCAGAGGGGCCTCCAGGGGAGAGCAGCCTTGTGGCCTCCTTCGGAGGGGGCTGGGCTTGGTCCTGCAGAGCTGTGCAAGTGTCGTGGGAGCAGACAGGCCTGGGAGAATGGGGGTCCGGGGAAGCCTGGGGTATCAGGTGAAAGGATGAGAGAACTCTGAGGACATTAAGAGCTTCTGGGCAGGAGAATGACATGAGCAGAGCCTCAGCACCACAAATCCAGCGGCAGAGGCTGAAGAGGCAGGTGTAGGCGTGTTTGCGGTGTGCATGAGTGTGCGCGCACGGGTGCATGTGTGTTGGGCTGAGGGCTAGCCAGAGAGGACAGGCGAGCCGGTGAGGCACCCAGGGCAGCAGCCTGTGTGCGATGATCCCATTTACCCACTGAAGTCTGGACTAGGTAGGAGGTGGCAGTCAGGGGCAATGAAGGGACACGTTTGCGAAATTCCAGACAGGAGTGTCTTTGCGTCTTTCTCTAGTTGTCTTTGTTTTTGCCCGATTGTCTGAGTTCCCCTTTCCAAGCAGATCAGAAGCCTTTCCGCGGTGGCCACCCCAGGGCCAGCTTCGCTGTCAGGCAGAGATCTGATATTTACAGTGACGGGAATCAAAGTTCTCTCCTTTTCCTCAAAGCTCAGAGGCCCCGAGTGCCGGGATCTCCCAGGAGGACTTGGGCAGGCAGCAGCTCCGCGCCCCGGCTCACCCGGGGTCTTATCCTCCTCTGCCAACCCCGCGCCCCCAGAGGCCCTGCCGGCTGCAGACTGACTTGTCAGTCCCAGGACCCCAACCCCGGAGGGGCCCGCTGTGGCTGCCGAGCCCTCTGGCCCTCCTCTCCTCCCCCATTACCCCGGTGCACCCCCAATGTCAGCGCTCGAGGTAGACTTGGAGAGCCCAGGAGGGGAAATCCAGAGCCTCTCCAAGGACCTGATTATTTCCAAAGACTTGTGCTAATTTTCTGATATGATCCTCACATCTCTGTGAGGCACTAAATCCTCATTACTTTTCCTGACCGATGCATTCTAATTAGATCAACACTTAAAAAAAATTCACAATAGCCACAGGATGGCTTTCCATCTCATTAACTCCTCACTTATTATTTTCATGAAAATTACTGATAAAAATGTGCATCTCCATTTGCTGAGGCCTCACGGCCTCCTCAGCTCCTATCTTGAATCTCTCCCGTCACCGGGGCTGCGCAGCGTCGCCATGGTAACCCACAATAATAGAAACTAATAAATTACAAACGAGATGCTCGTTGAGCAATTATTGTCCTCTTTTATGCAAGTTTCTTGCTAATTTTGATCATAAGGGAAAGTACAATAAGACTCTGAAGGAATGAGTCTATTTCAAGAGAATATTAGCAAGCAGAAGCCTGGGCGGCTGTTTTTAGATCTGTAATAAAGTGATTTGGTGATTTCAAGCAATGGGAAGAGGAAATAAACTTCTTGCCTCATGTCCCATGCAGTAGTCACTGTCAAGTCCCACAGAGATCCCTTTGGATATGTGCAAGGCGGGGGTGGCCTCCTAGAGGCGCCCCTGACCCTTCTGTCCCCTGCCTCTGCCAACCTGGAGGGGTGGATGGATGAAGTGTGTTGGTCCTTAAAGCTTAGAGATAAAAATGGCACCACCTCTCTTAGGCACTTGCTTTCCAGTGCCCATCATTCTTAGAAAATTTACCCTCTTCCCCAAGCCTGATCCTCTCATGAGAAGAGGCCACTGCAAACCTCCTGGGGCCCCTCATGTGTCTGTCCTAGACTCGGGAACTCAGTGGGAGAGGAAGAAAGTGGTGAGCTATGGCTTACGTAGATTGTCGGTGAGTTTGATGGAAAGGTATCACCAGGCAGCTTTCTTAGCTCGTAGGTTTGGAGAAAATATTCCACCCTGGAGAGAAGAGCCCGTGTTCACCTAGAACACATAGTGGCCATTTCTACATTCCCCAGTTCCCAGGATGAAGGTGGCGGGTGACTCTTGGGAAGGGGGGTGACTTGAGGCAACCTTCACAGTGGCCCTGAACCTTAGGGAGACAGATGAGCCAGGGTAGGGTGAGCAACAGGAAAATGATCTGGGAAAAGCAGTCTCATGGGAAGCATAGAACCCACCTATTAGGTGGGCAGGACTCAGGGAAGGACCATTTTCCTCAGAGCCTCCTTCTCAAAAACATGGAGAGCTCAGCAAGCCCTCTTGAGAAGTGTGCGGGGCTGGGAGGCTGGGGTCCATTCCCAGCTCTGCCCCTGTCTCATGTTCCAGGAAACCTTTCCATCTCAACACTTATGTGCATTTCATGTGTCAGAAGAGGGGCCTCGTGCTGAAAGGATCCTGTGAGTCTAATCCACTTTCCTGGGCCACCAGGGGGCCTTCAGACAGTCCTCCAGCCTGGCTTAGGAGATAGGACCCAGCCCTGTGTGTTACCTGTGAGTGAAGGTTTATGGAGGGCTGGTTGGGGGAGTAGGGTCCCCCGAGATCATTCCTGAGCAGGTTATCGCTGTGCATCTTGGTTTTGAGGCAGGTGATGTACCGGTTACAAAAGTCCTTGCAGAGTTCATTTACTTTCTCCAATTCCAGCAGGTGAATTCTCAGGACCTGGATTGCCTTCACCATCTGGAGAGAGGAGGGAGAGGTGAGCCCAGGTATTCGTATCACACTCCTCCTGCTGCCTTGACTTCCCGGGCCCCAAGCCCACCAGTGGGGAGAGAAGCCCATCCCCTGCCCTAGGTAGAAGCTTTCTCATCCACTGGATTTAAATTCTAGTTATGTCGACCTGCTGGTGGTTCGTGTGTGTTGAGCCCACTGCTACCACAACCGTTCTCGAGTCTGAGAACCATAGAGATAAAAGGCCAGGTCTCTAGCTCTGGCCCTGCCATTTATCATCTGTGCGGCCTCAGGTAATGGCTCTGCACCTTGTTGTCTGAAAAATAGTTATGCCCTCCCTAACAACTGTCTAGGTTTGTTGAAAGGATTGCATGAGAGAATGCACAAGCTGAAAAGTGTGAGGTGCTGAGTAGGCATGAGGAAGACAGGAGAGTTTCTTGTGAGCATCTCAAGAAGTCAGGGACTGTCTATTCTTAAACATGTATTCTGAGTGCCTCATGTGACACAGGTCACCTTGCAGATGCCCCATTGATACTTGTTGACTGATGGAATCATCCAGCAGGACTTAGCTGGGCTCTGGAACACCTAGCTGTCTGTGGTGGCCTCTTCTGTGCCCTTTGGATTGTTGTACGTGCGCCTGTCGCTTCTTCAAATGGACACTCCGAACCCTTCACGGCAAGAGGCTATTTCTCAATCGGAGCTCTTCTCTTTATCATTGTTATTATTATAAAAAGAAAAAGTGTGACAGGAGGTTTGGAAAGTAAGGGATGAAAATAACTGTCTTTGATCCAATCACCCTAAAAGAAAGATGATTTTTTTTTTTGTCTTTTCTACAGGCATCTATTTTAACATGGCTTTAGTCACCTCGTCCATACAACTTTGTTTCCTATTTTCCCCTTAGTTTACCAAATAGATTTTTCTACACAGCAGCACTGTCTTCCCTATTGTCCTTTTCCAGCCTGTGAGTTTCTAGGAAGGAGAGATGGTGTCTGATTTGCTCACCATGTTATCCTTGGCACCACCACTCAATGGATGCTGAGTAAATATTTGTTGAATGGGTAAAAATTATTGAGTAAATATGTTTTTGATTGTTGCCTATTATTTCATGTGTGCCATCCTTAACCAATCCCTTATTGTTGAGCATTTAGGCTACTTCCAATATTTCAATTTTATAAAACATGTTACAGTGACTGTTTTCCAAGCTTCCAGCTTTTACGTCACACGTCTGCATTATTCCTCAAGGTAAATTCCCAGGAGTGACAGGAAAAAAAGGCTGTGGACATTCTTTTGGCTTGTGATAAATACTGCCAAGCTGCTTTTCAAAAAAAGTGTGGTTCAAGTGAGGCTGGAGCGATTGGACATCCACAAGCAAAAAAAAAAAGCAAACCTTATATAAAAATGAATTAGCATGGACCAAAAGACCTAAATGTAAGCAATAAAACTATAAAAACCTTTAGAACAAAAATGCAGGAGAAAATCATGATTTCCTAAGAGTAGGCAAAGAAGTCTTAGACTTGACCACACAAGCTTGACCCAGAAAAGGAAAAATTGATAAATTAGAACTCATCGATATTGAAAATGTTTGCCCTTCGGAAGACCCTGCGAAGAAGATAAGAAGGCAAACCATAGACTGGAAGAAAATACTTGTAAACCATATATCTGACAAAGGACTTCTTTCTAGAATATGTAAAGAGCTCACAGATTTAAACAGTAAAATAGCAAGCAACCCAATCCGAACAGGGGGAAAAGACAATATCAGACATTTCACTGAAAAGGATACACAGAAGGCAAGTAAGCACACGAGAAGATGTTCATTGTCATTAGCCATCAGGGAAATGCAAATTAAAACCACAATGAGATACCACTTACACACCTATCAGGATGGTTAAAATAAAAAAAAATAGTGATAACACCATGGCAAAGAAATGGACACTGGGTCACTCGTACATTACTGACAGATATGAAAAATGGTTCAGCTCCTTTGGAAAACAGTATAACAGGGCTTTTTTGTTTGTTTGTTTTGTTTTCTAACAAAACTACATATATGCTTACCACGCACCCTGCAATTGTACTCTTGGGGATTTATCCCAGAGGACAAAAATATGTTTGCACAAAAACCAGTATGTGAATGTTCAAAGCAGCCTTATTTCTAACAGCCCCAAACTGGAAACAACCAAACTACACTTCAGCAGGTGAATGGGTAAAAGACACTGTGGTACATCCATGCCATGGATTACTATTTAGCAACAAAAAAAGGAACCAAGTACTATAGACTCAACAACTTGGGTGGATTTCAAAGGAATAATTACGCTGAATAAGAAAAGCCAATCTCAAAAGGTTACACACTATATGATGCCACTTCCCTAACATTCTCGAAATGACAACATAATGGAGATGGAGAACAGATTGGTGGTCGCCAGGGGTCCAGCGGGGGATGGGGGGAGGAACTGCTCTGTATCTTGACTATCAGTGTTCACGAATCTAGATCTGTGAGAAAATGGCACAAAACTACACACACACACACACACACACACACACAGACAAGTGCATGTAAAATGGTGTAATCTGAGTAAGATTGGTAGATTGTATTGTTGATTTCCTGGTTGTGAAACTACGTAGTTATGCAAGAAGAGAATCAGAACTTTTTTGTATTAATTCCTAAAACTGGGTGTGAATCTATAATTACATCAAAATGAAAAATGAAAAAAATGGGGCTTGTTGCCCTTTGAGACCCATTGATATGGATAATAGCAGGATACAGGGAATTCCTGTTTAATCCTACCCTCCCGGCTGTTGGCTAGCATCTTGATGCCTGGGAAACAAGGCAGGGAATGTCTCCCGGAGAATTTTGCAGGTCAGGTGTGAGCAGAGCGGCGTGGCTGGACACCAGTGCCATGCTCCTCTCTGAGCTTCACTGGCATTTCTAGTGGGGAGTGACTGGGGTTAGCTTTTGGATTGCCTGATGGGCAGGCACGCACTGTGCTTAACTAATGAAGGTTCCTGGAGTACGGAATTAGACTCAGTGCCACTCAAAGACAGACCCACAGCTCTGTGTCTTCATGTGGGGCTCAACCCTCGGGTCTTATCCTAAGGGAGTGCTCCCTCCCTGGGGCTGAGACCAAAAGAGACTGTGTTCTCCCAGGTAAAGAAGGGAATCTTGACTTTAGAATGGATTATTCGGTACTGGAATAACATTTGCTCTCAATTTCCTACTTGGCTGTGGCCATGGATATCTTGGTTTACGCCTTTCAGAATAATTAGCCCCGTATAAAGCGTTTAATGAATGCTCATTGATTGATTGATAACAACACCCAAACATTTCTTATTCTTACAAGGTCTCAGGCACTGTGTTAACCCTATCACATGCCCTGCCTTAATTATACCACACAGCCACCTCTGTGAGCAGGTACTCTTATTGCCCATATTTTAGAGTTGAAGAAAACAAAGCCCAGAGATACTAAGTTTCACTTGTTTAGAATCACATGGCCGACAAGTGATAACACTAGGGTATGAAGCCAGGTGGCTTATGTTGCTTCACCCTCAAGACAAGCTCTCAGGATCTGTGTAGCTGGAGAACAGCAGTTTGAAAGCTGCATGATTTGTGGGGTGGGTGGGGGTGGGGTGGCTCAGTGATGGGAAGTATGGGCTTCCAGGAAGACCAAATAGCTTTGGGGACATTAAAGTTTAGGATTTCCAGAACCCTCCCTGGTAACATTGCCTCCTTTGGCTGCTCTGGGTTCTCATCTCTCACTCCTGGCCAACCCCCTGGAGTCAGAATACCTCACAGTGTAGGGGTATTGGACTGTTAACAGAGAGGGTTGGACTGTCAGGGGCTTCCCGGTTTTTGATTCCCTGAACATTACCAGGACTCGTGCCCTCAATTCACTGATGGGGCTGGAAGGGCCCTGGGAGATGATCTGGGCTGGCGTCCAGGTGAGCGGATGGTCCAAACTCTCTAGGCTATATGGCTACATCCTCTCTTCTGAGGCTGCCCCCGTCAGAAGCTTCACTTCAGACCATCGCTATGTCTCTCAGCCTGCTGATCAAGAAGTTCTTCCTTACATGTCCCAGAATCTCTCCTCCTGCCTGAATATGAAGTGCTTACCCAGCACCAAGAACATCTAGTGACTCCATCAACACCATCTCCCTTAACTGAATGTTATCCATTCAACACAAACACTGAGTCTCACTATATGTCACACACAGGACAAGGCATCTGACTTGAATAAATTATCCAACTGGCTTTGTCTCCTTCGGACAAAATCACCCTAATTCCTTAAACCTTTCTTTTTTTTCCCCTTCTTCCCTCTCTTCCTTCCTTTTTTTCCTTCCTTCCTTTACTTCTTCCATTTCTTCTTTCTTTCTGTTTCTGAGCTTTCCTTTACTGGACTATTTTCCATTTTTAATCAAAATTGCATTGACTCGTTTAATTTTAAATCTACATGCATGCATCCACCACGTGGAAAGGTGTACATATCTATTCAATTATTTTTAAAACATAGCCAGTAAATAATTATTATTTAAAAAGAACCCAAAAGTACAAATAGGTAAGACAAAACACGATAAATCTATGCAGGATGATTTTGTTCAAACAAAATACACAAGGAGCTTACACCAGATCTGGTGCCCAGGGGTCAATAGTGGACCTACTTTTTGGTCTAACAAAGCACAGTTGAAGGATGACTTTTTTATGGGATAATAGGCTTGGTTTAAAGATTTAAGAAGGTAGAGTAAATCATAATGATATTCTGAGGCAATAAATATGTAGGACCTATTCAATATTAGAGAAAAAGATGGGCTGTACCATTAGTGGGGGTGGCTGTCCAGCAGAGCAGCAAGTCTGTGGGGGTTGTTGTCAGACAACCTGAATCCAGCCCACTGCTTACAAAATTGGGTGTTACTGGGCCAGTTCCATGACTTCTGCAAGTCTCAACTTCCTCATTTGTAAAATGGGGATAATGATCATCTCCAGCTTGCAAGATCTGATGAGGGCTAAAGGAGATAATGAT